TACCTAAAACATTTCTGACTCAGGCCTTTGCACATCATAAGCTGGCTGCCTAGAATTCTCTTTTCTCCAAATTTGACCAGACTATCTCCTTCTAGCCATCAGGGTTCCATCCCAGCCATCACATCAAATAGAGCCCATAGATACATTTACTACCACATTTACCTTGTTTCATTTTCTCTGTAAGACTCTCTATCTAGAATTACCTTGGTTTACATGTTTAATGCCTTTCTTCCCTACTAGAATGGAAACTCAAAGATCAGAAACCTGTTTGTTCTGTTCACGGTTATATTTCCAACATTTTGACGTATATAAAGACTATATGCAATCTTCTAAATCAAGATTCCAGATGATTTAGTAGGGGGTAGTTTTGTGATCAAGATGGCATGAAGTCAAGGGTATATGTTATAGCCAGATAGAATTAGGGATGGCCAAGGAACGAATTGTAAAATTATAGGCAGTGTGACACTGAATTCATAAAGAATATGAACATATAGAAAGAATGTGAGCTCAAATTCCAGCCTGCCACTTACTAGTTGTTTGACCTTGGGCAAGATACTTACAACTTTAGTGAGGCTCATTTTCCCTATTTAAATTTTTTAATGTTTTATTTATTTCTGAGAGAGAGAGACAGAGAGAGAGAGAGAGAGAGAGAGAGAGAGAGAGAGTGAGCAGGGGAGGGTCAGAGAGAGAGGGAGACACGAATCCGAAACAGGCTCCAGGCTCTTAGCTAGCTGTCAGCACAGAGCCCTGCGCAGGGCTCGAACCCACAAACTGTGAGATCATGATGTGACCTGAGCCAAAGTCAGACACTTAACCGACTGAGCCACCCAGGCGTCCCACATTTTCCTTATTTAAAGGAACAGAGAATAACCAGCATTTACAAATGACTATTTTACAGTGTTTTGAAAATTAAAGGACATTATGCATGTCGTGTGGCTAGGCCTGTGCCTGTAAGTTCTCAGTAAGTGGTAAGTTATTGTGATGGACATTATCTGTTACCCTCCCAATAGTATTATTTTCTTTTTCCTTGATAACACAGCGCTAATTTTTTGATACTGATATTTGTTCTACTTTTATTTCAAAGTCATGTAACTGTCTTCTGTAACTACCAATATTGATTTTACATATAAATGTCAGTAACTGCACCTTTAAAATTTTTCCTGAGGCAACTTGGGTATCTTTGGAATCAAAGCCAGTATTCTTATCCTTCTTATTTTTCTGGTTGATTTTTCCAAAATTTAAATTTTTTCTGGACATAGCCCTAACTTCATTCAGGGTGGCTCAGGTGATGAGTCAATCATGTTTGATCTAAGACAATCGTAAGCAACGTGTTCCTCATTTTCTCAGACTCCTTTGCGGTTACAGGTGGTTATGTGACCCAATTCTGGATAATCTATCCAGAACTAAGGGGAAGTTGACTCTGTGTGTGTGTGTGTGTGTGTGTGTGTGTGTGTGTGTGTAAAGGGTGGAGGAGATCTCCTTCCTTCTGTCATGAATACTGAAGTGATGGCTTGTGATGAAGCAGCCATTCTACAGCCTTCAGGGAAAGGCCTTGTTATTTTTGAGCCACTGAACCAAAGCCAGAAGTCACTTATCTACATTTTGTTAAATGAAAACAACAATGTCATATTTACTTAAGCCACTGTTAGGTTACCTGCTTCTGAAAGTACTCTTAACTCATGGAGGTGTGTGTGTGTGTGTGTGTGTGTGTGTGTGTGTGTGTGTGTGTGCCAGGAGAGCATTTAAAGGTGATGGTAGGACAGTATATGTTACTTGTACGCAAAGTTAGCTGGTTCATTGTCATTTGGATATTTACAAAGTGAAATCATGGATGGGTTATCAATTTCTTTAAAGTCATAATTTAAACATGAGAGAGGTTAGGAATCTGTATTTTTAAATTTCATTAATTAAGTCTGATGGTCAGGAAAGTAGTTCTCCCAAGACACTAGCTATATTTTACTGTGGAAAACAATAGCTTGTGTATTTATCAAAAACCAAGTTTAAAAAGAAATCTGCTTTTCATTTCCAATGTTAACCTCATTTTATTTCCTTTTATAAAAACAAAACATATTCTGTTTATACTTTTGGATATTTGAGTAAAGAACAATCATTAGTCACAAAAAGCTGCATTTTAAAAAACCCTATTTTAGATTTAAAAGGTTTTAAGTGTTTGTAAGAAAAATGGCTTAAAAGAAAACTGACAGAAATTAAAAATATTCTATTATACTACGTGCTACATAAAATATACCATGCTATATTGTTGGAAGCTAGAATTTGTAAATAACACCATTATAGTTTCAGGTACTTAGTTAATTGTTAATTTGCTTAATAGTAAGTAACATTTATGTAGTGTTACTATGTGCCACATATCTTTAACTATACTAATTCATTTAGCCTTCGCATTAACTCTGTGGATTTGGTAACATGGTCATCCCCAGACGTTGACTACTTTGCTCCAGCAAAGCAAATTTGAACCAGAACCTGGCTCTAGATTATGTTTTCTTGCCCACTACACTCTGCTGCCTCTCAAGTAATAGTAATCATTATATTTCATATGAGAATAGTTATATTACTTGTTTGAGCCACATTTCTTTCCTTTTTTTTAAATAAATAGTTTATTGTCAAGTTGGTTTCCATATAATACCCAGTGCTCATCCCCACAAGTGCCCTCCTCCATGCCCCTCCCCCCTTCTCCTCCCCCCCATACCCATCAGTCCTCAGTTTGTTCTCAACATTCAAGAGTCTCTCATGGTTTGCCTCCCTCCCTCTCTCTCCCTATTTCCCCCCCTCTTCTCCCCCATGGTCCTCCATTAAGTTCCTCCTAATCCTCCTATACGTGCAAACATATGGTAGCTGTCCTTCTCTGACTTATTTCTCTCATAACACCCTCAAGGTCCATCCATGTTGCTACACATGGCCAGACTTCATTGTTTCTCATTGCCATGTAGTATTCCATCGTATAGATAAACCACATCTTCTTGATCCATTTGTCCGTTGATGGACACTTAGGCTCTTTCCATGTTTTGGCTATTGTAGAGAGTGCTGCTATGAACGCTGGGGTCCATGTGCCCCTATGCATCAGCACTCCTGTATCCCTTGGGTAAACTCCTAGCAGTGCTGTTCCTGGGTCATAGGGTAGTTCTGTTGTTAATTGTTTGAGGGACCTCCACACTGTTTTCCAGAGGGACTACACCAGTATTACATTCCCACCAACCGTGTAGGAGGGTGCCCGTTTCTCCACATCCTCGCCAGCATCTCGAGTCCTCTGATTTGCTCATTTTAGCCACTCTGACTGGCGTGAGGTGGTATCTCAGTGTGGTTTTGATTTGTATCTTCCTGATGAGGAGGGATGCTGAGCATCGTTTCATGTGTCTGTTGGCCATCTGGATGTCCTCTTTGGAGAACTGTCTGTTCATGTCTTCTACCCATTTCTTCACTGGATTGTTTGTTTTTCGGGTGTGGAGTTTGGTGAGTTCCTTATAGATTTTGGATACTAACCCTTTATCTGATATGTCATTTGCAACTATCTTTTCCCATTCTTTTTGTTGTCTATTTGTTTTTTTGATTGTTTCTTTTGCTGTGCAGAAGCTTTTAATCTTGATGAGGTCCCAATAGTTCATTTTTGCTCTTGATTCCCTTGCTTTTGGGGATGTGTCAAGTAAGAAATTGCTGCAGTTGAGGTCAAGGACGTTGTTTCCTGCTTTCTCTTCTAGGGTTTTGATGGTTTCCTGTCTCACATTCAGGTCCTTTATCCATTTTGGGTTTATTTTTGTGTACTGTGTGAGAAAATGATCTAGTTTCATTCTTCTGCATGTTTCTGTCCAGTTCTCCCAACACCATCTGTTAAACAGGCTGTCTTTTTTCCATTGGATACTCTTTCCTGCTTTGTCAAAGATTAGTTGGCTGTATACTTTTGGGTCCAATTTTGAGTTCTCAATTCTATTCCATTGGTCTATGTGTCTCTTTTTGTTCCAATACCATACTGTCTTCATGATGACAGCTTTGTAGTAGAGGCTAAAGTCTGGGATGGTGATGCCTCCCATTTTGGTTTTCTTCTTCAATAATACTTTGGCTGTTCAGAGTCTTTTGTGGTTCCATACAAATTTTAGGATAGTTTGTTCTAGTTTTGAGAAGAATGCTGGTACAATTTTGATTGGGGTTGCATTGAATGTGTAGATTGCTTTGGGTACTAATGACATTTTAACTATATTTATTCTTCCAATCCATGAGCATGGAATGTTTTTCCATTTCTTTGTGTCTTCTTCAATTTCCTTCATCAGTTTTCTATAGTTTTCATCATATAGATCTCTTATATCCTTGGTTAGGTTTATTCTTAGGTACCTTATGGTTTTTTGTGCAATTGTGAATGGGATCAGTTTCTTGATTTCTCTTTCTGTTGCTTCATTGTGGGTGTATAAAAATGCAACCAATTTCTGTATGTTGATTTTGTACCCTGCAACTTTTCTGAATTCTTGGATCAGTTCTAGTAGACTTCAAGTGGAGTCTGTCGGGTTTTCTGTGTAGAATATCATGTCGTCTGCAAAAAGTGAAAGTTTGACTTCCTCTTTGCCAATTCTGATGCCTTTGATTTCCTTTTGTTGTCTGATGGCTGATGCTAGGACTTCCAGCACTATGTTAAACAACTGGTGAGAGTGGACATCCCTGTCGTGTTCCTGATCTCAGAGGGAAAGCTCTCTGTTTTTCCCCGTTGAGGATGATGTTAGCTAGGGCTTCTCATAGATGGCTTTTATGATGTTTAAATAAGTTCCTTCTATCCCAACTTTCTTGAGAGTCTTTATTAAGAAAGGATGTTGTACTTTGTCAAATGCTTTTTCTGCATCTATTGACAAGATCATATGATTTTTATCTTTTTGCCACATCTCTTAACCCATTTCCTTTTCAGTACTTTATCTGAGTATTTAAAGATAGTGTCCCATTTATTATCCCACATATTTTTGGGATAAATGGATTTACCACCCTCTCTTACTCTCTTCTCCCAGGAAGCTAACAAATTAGAAGCCGGATCCAAAGCCAAAATTCTCACCCACCGTAAGAAGAAATGGTAAGTTGCCATTTGGGGACAGATTAGAAAGCACTGCACTAACCATATTTGGCTTGTAAAACTCTAGCTCAAATCCTGTCATTTCTATCCATTTCACATCCTGGATTTCAGGGGTGTGTGTATATCTTACTCCATCTTCTGGGGGAACCACACCGGTGTTGTCTTTCCCTTTTTCTGCCTGCCATGGAGACTCAGGAAAGGTGGACAAAGATGATGACAACTGATCTGGGTTTTATGGATGGAACCTAAGTTTCAGAAAGGGAGCAGGACAGTTTGTCCCTTTGGTTGTCTGTGTGTGATGAGGCCAACTATGGGTGGAGAAAAGAGGTGAGAGAAAAGCAAGAGCTAGAATTATTTAATGGAAAAGAGAAGAGACTATGAGAATAAAATGTGCGAGAGGAGCAGGAGACTTGAGAAGAGGGAGAAAGCAGGGGATCTGGGTGTGGGGGGTGAAATGACCACTGAAGAGTGTTGGGGAAGAAAGAGTCTGCTCTCCCAGACTCTCGCTTGTAGAAGCTACAGTTTAAAGGAAGCTGCCCAGAACTGCTTCTCTGCTTGGATGCTCCTTAGGCATTAAGGAAATAAACAATTAAGGCTAGCCCTGGCCACATCCTTTTTCTCCTGGCATTTGCAACCTCTCTCCATTCTCCAAACCTTTGATACTGCTCCTTAAGTTAATCACACATTTTCTCTTTGCAGGGTCCCACCCCTGCATCTGCTTCTCTCACCCCCCTTCCCCCCAGCCTCCTGTGAATGGCTGCTGGGTGCTCCCCCTGAAGCAGCCATTCTGGACCAGATCATGCTAGAAAGCTGCTTTTCCACTTATGGAGAAACCACAAGGAAGTTTCTAAAATGGCAGTCTCAGCTTGCTTCCCACAATTATGCTCTTTTTCTCTCTCTCTTTCACTTTCTGGTTTTCCTTTTAGTCCTGGGTATGGAACTTAGCTACTAAGAAGAAGGGATTGCTAGAGCTAGCTTTGGGCCAAAGTTCTAAAGGAGTTTCTATGGAATTCTGCAGCCCCGTGATACAGACTGGCAGCTGCCACCTTATCTTTCTTTCGGTCATTAGCATCCCACCCATGAGCTCCTGCATACCTCTCTTAAGTCTGGTCCCGCAAAGGTATCTAATCACCTCTCAGTTCATGGCTCAAATGCGGAGCATTCAGGCCTTTTGTTAGCTGAATGCTTTTGGGTCATATTTCTTTCTCTCATCCCCAAATCTTGGTCCCAAGTGTTCCTTCTTATTTCCCCACGGGTTCTTCCTCCTCTGTCTCATCCCTACATTGGACATCCCTGAGCTTCTGATTCTGTCATCCTCATCCTTTCCCTTGCCTTCTTCCCTATTATGGGTCAAATTGCATCCCCTCCAAAAAGATACGCTAAAGTCCTGACCCCCCCCCCCCCAGGATCTCAGAATGTGACTTTATTTGGAAAGAAGGTCACTGCAGATACAATTAGCTACATTAACAGAAGGCTGTACTAAGGTAGGGTTGGCTCTGTGTCTAATATAACTGGTGTCCGCATAGCAAAAGGACATTTAGACACAGCATATTCACTGCAAAGGTGGCCACATGAAGATGGAGGCAGGGATTGTGATGCTCCCACAAGTCAAGGAACACCTGGACCACCAGAGAGTGTGAGAGGCAAGGAAGGCTCCTTTACAAGAAGCTTCAGAGGTGTCATGGCCCTGCAAACACGCTGATTTCAGGCACAGCCTCCAGAACTGTGACACAATACATTTTATTGTTTTTAGCCCATTCTGTGGGTTCGTTGTTCCTACAGTCCCATGAAAGTAACAGCCCTCCCTTCCCCTTCTCTCCCCCTCCTCTCCATCCCTCTCTTCTTCCCTACTCCTCTCTTTTCTTCCCTTTCCCTGGATAACCATAACAGCTGCTCTCATGACTTCCATTACCACATATATTCTGACAAATCCTGAACTCCCAAACCAAATTTATTATTTCTCATTGATCTTCTTCATCTGTGTGTCCTGCAGGCATTTGAAACCCAACATATTTAAAGTAGGACTCAAATTTGCTCTTCTTTCTACATTTTTGATGCAGATTGTATTTTCATAGGAGGACTGCCATGATAGATCTCATTGTGATCTTGTAATGTGACATCATCAGTCCTGCCATCCAGAGCTGAGGGTCTCTGTTCCCTCTCTGAACCATGGTGGACCTCTTTAACCACCTTGACCAGTGAAGTGACTGGTGGAGGAAGAGACCATATGTAACTTCTACAGCCAGGTCATAATGACTCCATTCCCACCTGGTTTTCTTGGCACACTTGCTAATGGAACCCAGCCACCATGCTGTCAGAAAGCCTAGACCACGTGGAAAGGCCATATGGAGGTGCTCTGGACAATAACTCTAAGTGAGGTTCCAGTTGACAGTCAAGGTGAGCCCCCAGACATGAGTGAGGAAACCTTTGATATGACTCTAGCCACAGACATCACCTGACTGCAATACATGAGAAATGTTGAGCAAGAACCTATAGCTAAGCCCGGTGAGCTTCCACAATGGTAAGGGCTGATAATAATTCTTGTTCCTGCCTATTGTACCTTGTAAATTTTTGTTGAGTATCCTTCTCTTTATATTCCCTGTTTCCTTGCCTTACAGATACCATTGCCTTAATGTGTACGAAAGAGGGTGAGGACTGAATCTGACTGATATTCTCAGCCCCAGCTGCTCTCCGATTGACTCCATCCTCAAGCTTATGAGAGAATGGTCTTTTTGAAGTCCAAATCTGAAAATAAAGGCGGGGGGGCATCTGGGTGACTCAGTCAGTTAAACGTCCAACTTCATCTCAGGTCATAATCTCACGGTTCATGGGTTCGAGCCCCGCGTCAGGCTCTGTGCTGACAGCTAGCTCAGAGCCTGGAGCCTGTCTTTGGATTCTGTGACTCCCTCTCTCTAACCCTCCTCTGCTCATGCTGTCTCTATCTCTCTCTCGAAAATAAATAAAACATTAAAAATATGAAAATAAAAAATAAAAAAATGAAATGCAAGTCTGACCATGTCACTTCCTTGCCTTCTGCATTAAAAGTAATGTCTTCTTGGGGTGCCTGGGTGGCTCAGTAGGTTAAGCATCTGGCTCTTGGTTTCCACTCAGGTCATGATCTCACAATTCTGTGGGTTTGAGCCCCCATTGGGCTCTGTGTCGATGGTGTGGAGCCTGCTTAGGATGCTCTCTCCCTCTCTCTCTGCCTCTCTCTCTCTCTCAAAATAAATAAACTTTAAAAAAGTAATATCTTCAGAGGTGAACATACTCCTTATGTAAAGTCTTCCTTAGGATGGTTTGCAAAACTTCCTTCTAGCCTAAGGAAGGAAGTACCCCATGCCACCTGCATCTGAGCCACTTTAGTGAATTCATTTTGTCCCAAAGAAGCATCTTCTCTGCTTCTATACCTTTGCCGGTGATCTCATTTCTTTCTGGAGTGGCTTTATTAGTTTCTTCCATCCAATAAATTTGGATTTTCATTTATCCTTCAAGACATAGATTACATATCACTGCCTTGAAGAATGTTCTTGGAACATCCCCTTGTGTCTCAGTAGAGTTACTCTTCCTCTTTTCCTGCAATATACCTCTTCATTAGAATTTTTTTTTTTTCTCGGTGTCTCTCTCATTAAACTGAGAAGCCCCTAGCACTAGGACTATGTGCTAGATTCAGCATCATATACTGGTGATTCTAAGAATAACAGGTATAATATAGTTATATTCCTTCAATCATCCATCTATTCAATAATTTATTCCTTTATCAAGTGTTGCTTACCAATGCCTCTCTCTTTTTTTTAAAATAACGTTTATTTTTGAGAGACAGAGAGAAACAGAACATGAGTGGGAGAGGGGCAGAAAGAGATGGAGACACAGAATCAGAAGCAGACTTCAGGCTCTGAGCTGTCAGCACAGGGCTGACAAATCCATGCAGGGCTCAAATCCATGAACCGTGAGATTATGACCTGAGCCAAAGTTGGCGCTTAACCAACTGAGCCACCCAAGCACCTCCCAGTGGCTCTCTATTCTTGAGGAAAGAGTAAGTGTGTGACCTTTTTAACTGGACTCAGCCTGAAAACCAAAGCCATTGTCTTTTGCCTGGGGAGCTCATAGGATACTTTGAGAACAACTTCAGTGACAAAATAAAACACATGTTTATGAAGCCAAACACTGTAATAGTCACTTCACATATATCGTTACACTTAATCCTCACAAGAATATTGCAGTGTAGACTTTATTGTTGAGTAAACTGATACTCAGACATTAAATAACTTGCCTGAGATTATAGTTAGTAAATGACATTGCCAGATTTGGATCTAAGTCTGTTTAGTTCTAAAGTTCATTTACTTTCCATAGTAGGTCATATTTTTCTTCTTCATTTAGTTTCAGTGGTCACCTCCTTAGTAATTACTCCATCGTTACCATTTCCAGACCACCCAGGTGTCCATCTAGTGAAGTAGCCAGTGGGGGTGGGACAAGCCCTGACAGCCTTCCCACCCAGCTCCCCAAATCCCCATCCCCCCAGGTGTCTGGTGAGCTGAATTTTATTTCCCTTCCATTCTCAGTTGTTTGGACCAATCCGGAAGGTGAACATTCACGAGGCTGCACAGAGAGAAGGTTGATTAGTCAAGCAAAGGAAGAATTTGGGCAATCCTAATTCAAGACAGCCTTGCATTCAAATAGGGCACGTGGGAGGAGAGTTACAGCTGTGTGAGTAAGGGCTGTGGGTGTGGTGGTGGCATCTGTGTGTGGGTCTTTGTGTCTGTGTGGGAGTGAGGATACAAGCACACGTGTTGTCTGCTGCCCAAGGCATCTGTGGCTGCGGTGTTTCTGGCTACCATTGGGCATTTTCGTTGTCTGCCTGTCCACGTGCTCTAAGGCGCACATGTGGCTTCCCGGTGGGTGTGCCGCCTGTGTCTGCGGATGGGTTTCTCGGTGTGTATGTGGGAGTGCTAAAGGAAGAGCTAACTTCTAAGTAGCGCTTCCAGATTTCCATCCGGGGCCCAAGCCTCCAAAGGAAAATGACGTCAAAAGGGTAAATGAAATTTGCTATTGATACCTTAACGAGGAGGCCAGAGAATGAAATCAACGATGCATTATATCCCCTTTCTTCTCTTTCCAGTCTCAAAAGAATCTCCTCCGCATCAGTTCCCCGTCCGCACCTCATCCCTTCTCTGTCCTGGTGAATTATTGCTCACTCCACCTGGGCATCATCAAATTGAATGATTGTTCTGTGTTTCTTCTGGAAAGGGGGGAAAGGCTGTGAGGTCTGGAGAAGGCTGGTGGGAGAAACGTCTAGACAAAGGGCACAGGAAGCCAGAGCCTTGGCTGTCACACTGAATCATCACGTCGACTGCTTGACAGGAACTGTGTTATAATACAGTCACACCCCTTCCTCAATATCCCCAAGCTGCAGGCTGACACCCTAGAGGAGATATAAGGTAAAATAGCTGTTGGAATTATGATAGAACATGAAACAAATCAATCAATGCAAGTTCTATTTGTGCTGTGTCAAAGTAAAATTTGCAAAATTTTTGGCTTTGATGAAAAATTTATGAAAAAATAAAGAGAAAAAATCTATGAAAGCCATCTAATGCAAAGCTCCTACTAATACTCAAATCAGACTTTACCCATCCCCAAATATTTTAATTATAATAGCTTCATCTGGTGACTCATACCTAGAAATGAAAAATTCTTATTTTTACACGTCATGACTTTTGGAGAGCTAGAGGAGGTACATTTGAGAGAGAGAGAAGACGGAAGACAAAAGGTAGAAGAGAGGGAGGGATTTAACATACTTGGCAGATATTGTGAGATTTTTATTTTTCTGTTGAACGATAGCAGTACAATTAAGACAGCAATGAGATGCTTCCTCCTAAACTGGAAATAGGGGAAATAAGTTTTGCCATCTGTGGGAGTAAGTCTGGAGACTGTCTGTAAATATGTTCCTGAAGTGTTTGGGAACACACAAAACTCCAGTTAAGGTCACCTGGGTGTAATTTCAAGCAGGCAGTTCTAGAATGTGATTTTAATTTAGTAATTGGAACCCAATTGTGTTGTACTTTCTACGCAGAAAGAGTTGAGCACAGAGAAGACAGTTCTGCCTGGACAAATGGGAAAGGGGGCTACAACTGGGCAGTCTGGAGACAGGGACCTGGAGACCCAGATGCTCAGTCACTATGGGTGCTGTAGGGCAGTGCTCCTTCACCCACAACCCTGCCTCTAGCACGCAGGTGAAGCTTTGCTTAAGGTTATACGTATTTCCAATTGCTTTTATTCCCTGCTTTGCTACGTTGTGTTTTTATTATGAACTGTTCTGCTAATGAGGAGGTGGTACTATGGATGGGGAAATATGATTCTAAATCCTGGAAGGAGGACTGATTCCAAAGTAAGTGGAGGAAGAGGCAGTCAATTGGATTGATAATCTTCAATCTACCAGAAGTTCGAGTAGTTTGAGACAGGCTTCCCAGGACTGATGGCAATGGAAAGACACTGACAAGGTAAGGGCCAGATCCAGAACTGTGTCCTCTCTGAGGACTGTTAGTGGCCAGGAAGCTGGCTTTCTTCTGGAAAGCACTTTGTTACTAACTGCATCGACTATGTAAGACTGCTAGGTCATTAATCAGTAACAATACATATAGAATGGGATAAAGTTTATCGGTAAATGCATACTTCCAATCTTCTTCCCAGACACTGGAAAGTACACTAGTGTGGCCTACTCGGGCTTTTTCTTTTCCCCACTGTGCGGCCATAGTCCTGATTTGTTTGAATCCTTTTTAAAAAAGAGTTTGTGATGAAGGATTGAGAGGAAAATGTTAGGGGTGGAGAGGTAAGAAGACCAGTGTGTCAAAGAGATTCACCGTGGTCTGTGGGAGAAGTGGATTGAAGAGAGAAAGAAGAAGTAGTCTTGAAGGACTATGTATCGACTTCCTAGAATTGGAGGAGACAAAAGTCAAATTGTTGTTATTGGGTTATTTTCGGGGGGTGAAATGGAATGAATTCTTTAATTTCTTTTTCCTTTTCTTTTTTTGTGAGCTCTACACCCAGTGTGGGGCTCAAAATCATGACCCCAAGATCAAGAGTCACATGTTCTACTGACTAAGCCAGCCAGGTGCCTAGGACACATTCTTTTAAGTTCAGCACCTGTATGGATCGAAGCAACTGAGCAGTAGCTTAGAAAGATTCTACATAAATTCTATTGCTTCTTTTTCCAAATTATTTTTCCTAGAAGTTTGCTCATTGATTTTGATTTTCCAGCCCAGGGAACCACCCTCTGCTGTTTCTTAAGATGCCACATGTTAAAACAGACTGTGCTCTTGTGCTTCAGGCTTTATATTCAGCTACCAATTGGTCGTTTTCATTGGGATCTCCCTTCAGCAGCATTCCCAAGTCCTCTCCTGGCATGATTCTTCTCTCAGTGGATGGTGCTATTTTGTGCCCAGATTTCTAAACCAAACCCATGGAGTCTATCTTAACCTTTTCCTCTCTGATATAATCCCCAATTTGTCTATTTTAATTCCTATTTCTGAAATTCGCCCACTCATCGCCGTTCCACTGCCATGACTTTGGATCTGACCAACATTATCTCTTGCCTGAACAACTGAAATAGGCTCCCAGCTGGCTTTCCTGCCTCCAGCCCTTCTCTGACCCAGATCTTCAGTGAAAATCGTGCCACTATGTAGTTGTGTTCCTGTTTGAACTCTGCCTTTCCTATAGGATTCTCTTTAAATATCAATCCTGCATTTCCTTCTTATCTTTGTGTGTATATGTTTTCTTTTGATCATATCCTTGAGTTTTTCCAATTACTGCATCTTATTGTCTATCTCATTTAATTTTTATCACCTTTTTAAAAAAGGCAGCAAATCAACACCATTCACTTTTTTTTTTTTTAGTCCCTGCAGAGACCTCCTTCAGGGAATTTTTGTCTAGCTGTCTGGCCCGGTTAGACTCAACACCTGGGACTTCTTTTTATTTATTTATTTGTTTGTTTGTTTTTTATTTAAGTTTTTATTTATTTATTTTGAGAGAGAGAGAGAGTGAGCACATGTGCACATGAGTGGGGGAAAGTCAGGGAAAGAGAGGGAGTGAGAGAATCCCAAGCAGGTTCTGTGCTGTCAGCACAGAGGCCAATATAGGGCTTGATCTCATGAACCATGAGATCATTGCCTGAGCAGAAATCAAGAGTGAGATGCCCAACCAAATGAGCTCCCGGGTGTCCCTGGGGCTTCTTTTTATGTCTTCTTGCATTGGGTACGCAATTTGCTGGATCCCATGCCTTCCTTGTTTTTTGGTTTATTCCTGCAAGTGATAGCCTATGAAAGGATAAATGTGAGATACAATTTTGTAAGTCTTTTCCCATCTTAAAATATGTTTATTCTGTTCATATATTGACTGATAGTTTGGTTATACAATTCTAGGCTGGGGGCACCTGAGTGGCTCATTTGGTGAGGTGACTGACTCTTGATTTTGGCTCAGGTCATAATTTCACAGTTCTTGAGACCAAGCCCCACACTGGGCTCTGCTCCGACAGTGTGGAGTCTGCTGAGGATTCTCTCTCTCCCTCTGCCCCTCTCCCACTTACTTGCACATGGGTGCACTCTCTCTCTCAAAAATAATAAACGTTGAAAAAACATTCTAGGCTGAATTATTCACAATAGCCAAGATTTGGAGAATTTCTAATATGTTTATCAATGGATGAATGGATAAAGAAAATGTGGCATATACACACAGTGGAAAATTATTCAACCATGAAAAAAAACCCCATATTCTTCCTTTTGCGACAACATGGGTAAGCCTGAGGGATTTTGCTAAATGAATATGTCAGACAGGGAAAGGCAAATCTTTCATGGCCTTCCTTACATGTGGAAACTTAAAAAAGCTGAACTCATAGAAACAGACAGTAGCATAGTGGCCTCCAGGGGCTAAAGTGTGGGAGAAATAGGGAGAAGTTGATCAAAAGGTACAAACTTCCAGCTGTAAGGTTAATAAGTTCTGGGGGTCTAAAGTACAGCAGGGAGACTATAATTAACAGTAAATTAACAGTACTGTATTATATACTTGAAAGTCGTTAAGAGAATAGATCTTAAATGTTATCATCACACACACCCACAAAAGGGAGCTGTGTGAGGGGATGGAGGTGTTAATTAACTTTACTCTGGTAATCATTTTGCAATATATTTGTGTCAAATCATTAAAGCATAAATGAAATAAATAAAATTCTAGGCTGAGTGAAACTGATCCTTGAACTTGAAGATATTGTTGTCTCACATATGGTTTTACTGACAAGAAGTCTGCTCTTCTCCCTGGAGGCTACCCCCACCAACCCTGCAGCTTTATTGAGATATAATTAACATATAACATTGTGCAAGTTGAAGGTATCCACAGTGTTGATTGGATACACATATATATTACAAAATGACTGCATGGAGGCTTTTATGGTCTGCCTTTTTCATTTTTTAATGTTTTCAATGATTTTCCTGAATGTGCTTCTTTTCATATTTACATTACATGGCATTTCATGAAACCATCCATTTTGAATTTGCCTTCCATTTTGAAAGGTAAGTTTTGTTTTATTTTCTGATTATTTCTTCTTTCCCTCTATATATTCTCTCATCTCAAAACCCTTATTAGCTTGATGTTCAATCTTCAGGATTCATCTCTGAAGTCTTTTATCTTTTCCCATGTTTTCCACTTCTTTTCCTTTTTACTCCAGGGTAAAATCCAGGAAACAGTAAGATCCAGGAAACAGACTGGACTATATCTTTCTATTCTTCTACTGAAGTTTTATTCTGGAAACTTGATTTCTAATTCAACTTGATACCCTCTTACATCATATGTCAATGAAACTAGAGGCCCTGTTACAACCCTGGACCCTTCCAAAATGCTCCCACTGTGCATTTTCTACTTGGCTCTCTCTGGTTCTCTTGGCTTTCTCTCCATTTTACAGTCCTGTTTTTCACCTTTGCTTTCGGCACAGGAAGTTCCAGAACAATATTTTGTAAGCTGCTATGAGATATCTCTTTAGACCTCATAGGGGCTTGGCACCATGTGGACTTCCATAAGCATTGCTACTGTCAGGCTCGCTTATTGTCAGCTGATCACAGCATGGAAGACTCCCTTGTGTTATTACTGCTACTGTTTGTGTGTGTGTGTGTGTGTGTGTGTGTGTGTGTGTGTGTGTTAAAGGGACTCCTTTATAGTTGGTAGGGCCCTCTTGTAATCAAATCACCTCTCCTAACTTTTCTTTTCGCCATAGATAACAAAATGCCTTAAATCAGGTTTGATTGAAATACTGATTCATTGACGTATCATTGGTTGGATACTTTTATTATGTGAGGTACAAACAGTAAAAAAAAAATGAACAGAAAATTCCATGGCCACACTCTTTCTGACCCCAGTTAACAATGCATGGTTTGCAGAAAGGGCAGCTGTTCAGAAGGCAAGAACTCCACCAGAGCAAGATACTGTCTCTGAGCACAAGGTTGA